GTTTCTTGTTGAAAGGCAGGATACAGAGAACCGCTACGATTTTAGACAAGACCACACTGACATTTTTCAATAGGCCCAGAGCACTGACTTGACCATAAACCACGATGTTTTCATCCTAACATTGCTTCAGATGGCTTCATTGCACACTGAACAGGAAAAGTCAGCGCGGTCAATGAATATTTGGGGACAGCTGTGGCCTGCACAAAAGAAGGTGACTTTTTATACCAGATTCTATTAAGCATAATTTTTTACATTAAATTAGCTAAACCACAATCATTAACCACAATAAAGTCAGTTTTTATTCAGCTTTCAAATATGTTTCTGAAGCTGTTATTATGCTTTTATGACAAGACCCAGATAATTACAAGATTGGAATTTTTTTGCTGAAAAAGAGGCAAGATTAGCAAACTTCTTCTGGAAGGCAGAAATTAAGATTCACAATCTGCTCAAGTGTCAAACTGTAAATGTTGCCCAATATTTGGCTTAGTCTATAAGAAGTTTCACTACAAAACCCTCTATTTTTAAATAGACTTCATAAAAAATAAAATTCAACAAAATGCATTTTATCTCTCTGTTCTTTTCATGTCTTATTTTTAGCACAGTAAAAAAAAAAAAAATACACGTTTCTGCTGACTTTTTCAATTTGAAGTCAGCAAAGGTTTTCATTTTCATAATTAAAAAAGCAGTGAAAGCTGAACTGCCTTACTGGATTGGACAAAGCTCGTCTTTACTCTAAATACTTCTATCAGATGTTACCATAAATTGCAAATAATGTTGCTCTCGATTGCATGTGACACTCAATCTCATTATGCACCACACTTGAAAAGACCTATGTGCGTCGAGCCCCACACATTAAAAGCTGCTGAGAGAGGAAAGGATGTATGACATCCATTATATACACATCCACTTTGAAAAATGTTTGTCATGTGGATGGTAGAAATTTCAATGAGAACAAACTCAGATTTACAAGTCTATCCTTTACATTAAATAGCAAAAACTCCAAATAATTTCCAGTTCATGGTACTGTATTTGGTAGATAACATTTCTATTAGCTCCAGAGTCGTGAAGTTGACATTAATCCTGAGGCTTTAAGAACTTTTTCTTAGCTTTTTTGCTAGGTCTTGTGTTACTATTCCCATCTTCATCTTCATCCTGGAGTACACGCTGGTCTCTTTTTCTCAAGAACTTCTTCCCTATTGTTCCCACTAATGTTTCATATCTGTAAAGATAATAAAAAATTTACAGCTTTTACTAAAATCAGAGAAAACATCAATTGAGCAAATCATAAATCTAATCAACAATTTAAGTTGTGTAAAAAAGCTGGTCATCAGAAGCTTAAGAAGCACAAATAGTACATGATCACTTATGACATTATTATTCATTCTTGTAGTTTGAGTTTGTTAGCAATCTGGAACAAGGAGGGAATTATCATGGATTACCTAGATATCACAGTGCAGAAAACCCTTATTAGATATTCTGCCCCCAAAAGTGATGGAAATTCCACTGAATACACACCAGAATTCCTGGAAAATCAGCTCTGTGAAGTACCGTATCTGTTGAGGGTTGTTTTATTTTTTTTTTTTGTTTGTTTGCTCTTTGGGTTTATTTTCCCACACACAATGCAGTAACATATCACATTTCTAGCTAATATTGATTATGTCATAAAATATAACTTGCCTTCTGGCCATTTCTTCATCTGACACATCAGCCTCCATTTTATCATCCACTTCATTTTCTTCTTCCTTGCACCTAGAGTTCATCTGGATCATTAACTTCTGAAAATGAAGTAAGAAATAGCTTAAACATGTATCCCTGACACAATGGCTGAAATCCACTGGTAGGAGAAACGCATAAAAGGTAACAATCAAATGTAGTAATTATTTGCTGTTCCTGGTCAGGCTAGAGCATGCTCTTATGAAAACTCATGAAGAAAAGGCAACATGTCTGCTGGTTGCTAAGCTGAGCTTAGAGTTTGCCTTTGGGAAAAGAGGCAACACAGAGCCAGGATTTTCAGTGAACTGTATTATTCAAACACCCTCAAGGGCACACGAGACATCTTCAGGAGAACAGAACAGGTTGCCCAGAGAAGCTGTGGCTGCCCCCTCCCTGGCAGTGTTCAAGGCCAGGCTGGATGGGGCTGGGAGAAACCTGGTCTGGTGGGAGGTGTCCCTGCCCGTGGCAGGGGAACGAGATGATCTTTACGTCCCTTCCAACCCAAACCATTCTGTGATTGTATGATTCTAATTTTTCACTGTGATGTTCGCACATAGTCCTTGAAATGGTTTCATTAAGAAGGAAAAATATCTGCAAGGATTTACAATAAACTACTAGTAAAAAAACGATGAAGCAATAATAGGCCAAGTCGCAGTACGAGCAAATTCAAAATCACTAAAAGAATCCCCTGGTACATCACCTTGCATAGCCTTTTGCATACATCTTAGTCTTTACACCTTCATCCTCCTGCTCCAGTTCAGCGGTAACATTTTTATTACTATCTCAGTGTAGTTCTATCAGCATGAATCATGACAGAAAGAAATTACAGACTCTCTTGCCCATAATTTTTGCTTTGGAACTTTAAGCCCTTATTTACACAAGTAAGTGTTGAATAAATAGGGTCGAATGTTTGCAGGACTGGACTCTAAATGAAATGGCAGGAGGAAAGTGAGCTATTGTTTTGGTGAGCAGCATGCTGGACAGTTTCCTCACTTCAGGGAAGGAGTATCTGCAGGAGTCATGCAATCACTGAACATCAACACAAGGAGATAAAAAGCTTCTATTCACCAGATGCTGCACTGATCAACATTTTGGTTTGAATCACAGACTTGCTGCGCATGGGAGGATTTATGGAAGGTGCTGCAAAGGCCAAACAGCACGCAGTGTGAACATTCAAATCCCCACCCCCAAGGGCTTCCAGCCTAATGCCAGACCAGCTCAAAACAGAACATTTAAACAGTACCTCAATTTCTGGATTGAATCCTTTGAAGGACATTCTGCCATAAAGTAGATCTTCACATGGCATAAAGCTCCTCTCTTCTATTATAAAGCTCCTGCATGAAACCCCAAACCCAGCATTTTGTCAAACGGTGTGCTTTAAAATAATCAAATTAAACAAATGCAAAAAGCATTTGCTGTCTTTCTCCCACACAAATAAACAAAACCACAGTGTATTTTAAACCATCAACTACTTTCTGAAGCTTAATTGCTCTGATAAATCTTTCACTACAAGGAGCTTGGAGTGCAAAGGAATACTTTTTGCCAGTAAAGCTGTGCCAGTTCCACAAGCAATATTAACTCTCCTGACAAAAAGCACTCTTTGCTGGTGCGATTCCACCTACATTAATGCTTTTGCCAGAATAAAAATACCACATAAATATCACTCTCCAGGTGGCATTACTATACCAGCAAAAGCTTCTAATTAATTTTTCATTGTGATGTTAGACCTGGCATTAGTTGAGTCTGTCAGGATATAAACCACTGTGTCATTCTCTGTTCAGCAGAGAAAGATTTCCCCTTTCTCTCTCCTTTTTTCCTCTTTTAATGAGCGTGGAGTGAGAAGAAACATGACCCTGAGCACTCATAATACATGCATTAAATGAAAGTACTTCCGTGAATTGTTCCATCCTTCTTTGCCTCGCACACATACGCACCTCTTCCCTCATCCTCCTCTTCATCTCCCATGTAAAACAAACTCCTACGATCATAGGAAGTTGGGCTGAAGAGATCAAGATCACTCTCCTACCTCAAGGTAGGATCAGTTAAACATGTACCATGAACAGCAGAGGTCCATCTAACCCGTCCTCAAAAGACTTCCAATGGTGAAGAATCCAGCGTCTCCTTAGGCAATCTATTCCAGTGCTTCAATAGCCTTATTGTTAAGAAAAATTCTCCCAATGTCCAGCTTGAACCTTCCTGGCTGCAGCTGAAGCTCAAATACCTTTTTGCCATATCCACCAACAGCCACGGAAAATAGTTTATCAATGACCTTATTCAACTAAAGTTAATTCCTTGGATCCTAGCTTTTTAAAAACTATGTATGTTCTCCCTCAATGGAATTTTTGTCCTCTTTTGGACAAAAGAGACAAAAGGACAAAAATCAAGCAATTTTAAAAGTAGTTCTC